ATGCTGTCTCTTCCCCACCTCCCACCCCCACCATCCCTTGCCTCCAGTTTACAACTAGATTAACCCCTGCTTACCCTTTACGTCTTAAATTCAGACATTATTTCAATTGGAAAATTTCCCTGGAACTCCCTAGAAAATATTTTTGGCTCTGTACCATTACACTGCAATGACTGCCATTTTACTTGCTGAAGTACCCTACTTCCCACTTATCAATAAGCTCAGAAGAGAACAGAGGAACGGGCCAGTTCACTGTGCTGTACCTCAGGACCTAGCATAGGGTGGAGCATAAACTGTAAGTGGGATACTTAAATGTGTGCTGAATGACGGGCCGAAGGTCTGATCTTACGATAAAAACTGCATGTTTTTAAAATATTGCTTTTTTTCCTTTGGGGGTTCTAATGGACCCTAAGGATTTCTTCCCCAGGAAAAAAAATGCAGATATAAAATTTTATATATAATTTTTTGGATCATGGATCCCAGGCTTAGAAGCCCTGCACAAGACTGTAGTGAATTCATGCTATCAAGTTTCTTGGTAAACATCCATTTGGATTTCCCGCCAAAATGCCCACTGGGACATGCACTTTTTTCATTAAAACATATGCACTTCCCAGGCAAGTTGGGCTTACACTAGTGTGCAGTGATGTGAATGAGTAAAAGGATGTTAGTAAATGTCCGTGGAATTATCTCAGCACCAGACACTTTCCACAGTCACTGAATAACAAACCATTTCATCTTCAGGGAATTTTTCTTTGCTTATTGTATCAGTAGAGTATTTCCTATTGAATGGAAAAACCTGATCCCACACCTGCACCCACACAGGGCTTTGGGAAGTGTGGTCACTTTAAGTGCTATCTGGCTCTGAATTCCATGTCCAGTTCCTAAGAAACAGAATTGACTGTCTTTTAGTAACCAAGTAGTTCACATTTGTTTTACCGCAGCCTCTGACATCTTTGTTTCATCTCTTTACCCTGACTTCTGTGAATTCACTGAAGGCAAGAGCCACCTATTTTTTAGTCTCTAGAACTGGACTTTGCATCAAGGGATGCCCAATAGGCAGACTAAGCCGATTTTCCGGAAGAAGGCTAAAACTACAAAGAAGATTGTGCTGAGGCTTGAATGTGTTGAGCCCAACTGCAGATCTAAGAGAATGATGGCTATTAAGAGATGCAAACAAGCATTTTGAGCTGGGAGGAGTTAAGAAGAGAAAGGGCCAAGTGATCTAGTTCTAAGCTGCAAACTTTGTTTTATTATGAAGACAATAAAATTTTGAGATTATATTTACTTCAAAAAAAAAAAAAGGGATGCCCAATAAACATTTCTGACCAAATGACAAACCAAAACACATTCCTTGCATGATGTGCAATATCATCACTACACTCACAGATGTTACATATAAGCTGCCCCGTTATACACTAAAGTATAAACGCCAGATCCCTGAAATGAACACTAAAGCAGGAAACAACCATTGGGGAGGACTGCAGAGTCATGCGGTGATAGCATGTCTGAAGTCAGCCAGCAAACAGTTCTCCACAGCAACACTGCAATCAAAGACCTGAGCAAAAGTTCTCTTCTCAATGTGTCTCTCCCCTGTATCATTTCTTCATAGTCTGCCTCTTATTATCTGTATTTGAGAAGGATGTTTTCTAAGTCAGAAAAGTAATTCAGAGCTTACAGTTGTTTTTTTAACAAAATGGTACAGATCATCTCTCAATGTTGGATTCCTCATCTTTAAAAGAAAGTTAATAGGAAAACAAGTATTTCTTGATAACTGAGGTTTATTTTTAACTAAGTATTTTCTTGTTTATAAAGGCTCAAGGAAGGACAATGCTCAAACACGAATTTAAGCTACTAATGTTCACCTTCAGTCTGTTTGGTAAACAACTAGTTTTGACCAGTCCAGATGGTTAGACATAAAAACAAATATACACTAAAATGGCAATAGATTTAATGATGTGGCTTAAACTGTTGCAGCACAAACTACTGTCTCATGAATAATTATTTTATGAGGGGGAGGTAATTAGGCTTATTCACTGATTTCTGCTTGGAGGAGGTGCTGGGGATTGAACCCAGGACCTCTTGTGTGCTGAGTGTGTGCTCTACCACTTGAGCTATACCCTTCCCCCCTATGAATAACTACTGTACAAATAACTAACATTTATAGGGTGCTTTACATTAATTATCCCATTTAATGCTCCTAACCTCCATTTGGTGGGAACCACTCCTAACTGCTTGCTATTGCCCAGCATGGCCGGCTCACTGTGCACTGTTTGAAAAGTCATCCCCGCCAGCCTCGGCCCCCTTCCACCACAGTGTCTGCCTGGTGATCATCTACTTATCTCACAAGGTCGAGCCCAGTTCAGGTGTCACTTACTGGATGAAGCCTTTCCTGAACCTTCCTTACCGCCAGAGATTTGTAGATTCACTCTAGGTTTGTTTTTTTTTTTAAGTATATTAAAAAAAAAAAAAGTAGGGGTGGAGAGAGATCACTTCTTTGACCATCAATAAGCACTGAAGTAATAAAGTGAGTTTTACTCCCATATATTTAAGAGTTAAGTTAGGCAGAAACTCTAGGTCCAGGCTACACTGTGGACTGCACAGTGAAGAGCAGGAACTCTGTCTTCAGAAGATAAAAGTTGGAAACCACAAGGCTTCTACTACTGAAGCCACATAGTTAGCCTGTATTATTGTCTTAAGAGGGTACACTATGCTTTCCACCTGCTCTCTTTTGTGGGGGTCAGGAGGCCCCAATGCAGGACTTGCGTGGTCAGATGTTTTTCCCTCTAGGAATCAGCTGGGAAGTATTCTGTGAATACTTCTGTGTGTCCGGGCACCAGGTGCTCCATGCTGTCAACACGGTGAGATTCTTGTTATCACTGGCCTGGAGATCACCACTTAAACGCTGATGGCAAAATTAAACTTAACAATTATCACTGGCATTAATATTAAAGCAGGCATTTCTTGGGTCCAAATGATTGTTTAGACATCCTGAGTTAGCTGGTGGAGCAAGGAATAAAAGCCCTGCACAGCACTACCTGGTGTCCTAGATCACTAAACCTACAGATGTTTTCCTGCGCCAGGACTTTCTTTGACCACTTCTCGTTCTAATCATTTGAAATTGTTGCTTCTTTTGCCCAAAAAGGCAAAATTCCAAAACTCATTGTCAGCATTTCTCTACTTTCCTCCATACCCCTCTATAATCGATTCTAAGGTTTTGGGAACTTCCTATTTCTGTTTTCCTTAATCCAAGGATGTGCCACTTAAGCTTAGGCTGCAGTTCTCATACAGTTTCCCTCACAGGTTTTGCAATAAAGAATTCAATCAGCACCACTACAAATGCCTACATGAACCAAACAACTCACTTTTGCTCACTCATAGGAATCTTGCTCAAAAAATATATATATTCGAGTACTAAATTTGTTAAAAATTATTTTTGAGGCACTGACACACTGCCTTTTACTGCCTTTTTTATAAAAGGGAATATTTCATATAACATGACTTTCAAAATGAAATTTTTAAAACAAAATATGCTAATTGAGGCATTTGCTAAAATACTTCCTGGTACCATCTAAAAATGTACTTTCCTTCCCTAAAGATTTTTAAAGCTTTGGAGGCTGTTCTAAACAGTACTGGCATTGTATGGAATTCCAGCTGATGTCTTCTAATCCTTGTGCACATTCTGAAACTTAGAGCCAAAGGAAGCTGTCCAAGTGACAAACCAATTGTTAAAAGATACAAACGGCCTTAAAAACTACTTAACCATTGCCCTTAAAGACACACCCTAAATGACTGCTTTGTGCGGTGCTGTTAACCCTCTCTAACACAGTCTAACTGGGAAAATAATATCCTCTTCTGTCACAGAAGGTGAAATCTGAGTCATGACAAGATTGCAACGCTAGGTCAAGGGCAAGGGATCACTATTCCTAACCCAATTGCTATGGCAATTCACCTTATGCCCTCTGTCCTGCAGATATGCCTAAACATCAGGCAGATGCTTACAAAGAATTTATCTTCATATGTAAGCATTTGTCTTCATTATTTTAAGGGTAGGGAATAAACATTAGCTAAGAGACCATTACACAAAAATACAAAACAATTTGCTTCAAATTATGGCTCAAATTAATTCTCTTCCTTATAATGGGAGAGAAGATGAAAACCTCTTAAAATTTAGAAAAGGTTCTGGGAACACAACATTGTAAAATGATTATAAATCAATAAAAAATGTTAAAAAAAAAAAAAAGAAAAGGTTCTGGGAGAAAGTCAGAGTCAAGAGACCACAAAGGTCTCAAAGGTACTGACAGTGGAAATTTCAAAGGGTCATCATAGCTACCACAAATAACTTTTAAAAAGCAATGGCCAATAGGTTCCAGTCCACGGGTAGGGATTACCTTATCAACCATGTTTAACCTTTTGAAGGCATTATGCTTTTTTAAGTGTCCATATTCATTAAATAAGCACTGAATGTAAAACTGCTTTCTCATCTAAGCTTATAATCTACATTATTAAAAAAGATAATGCTTGACCAAATATTTTCTAGGTATCATAGCCTGATTAACATTACATCCTGATAATAGGATACCCTTCATGAGTGTTTCAACTATATCATGTACAACCCTATAATTACAGTTATGCTATTTTACCTTACTCTATTAAGGATCACTCTAATTTCTATAATATTTTAGCATCTGATCAGAATTAATAGCTTTTTCATTATCAATTAGGGTCAGATGTGATAAGTGACCTCAAATGTTCTCATTAGAGGCTTCAAGACAAAGAACTCTAAACAAGCACCAGCATCTTTTGAAAGGATACCTCATGGGGCAGGGAAAACATATTTTTCCCCAGTAAAGTACTGAAGGGGAGCTGGTGGTAGGTAAGCTTGAAAGGTTTTCAGGGTTGTTAACAGTTTAGAGTATGGGTTCTTCCTGCCTCTCCCTGACCCTCCCAGCCCAAGTAACAATGAGGATGCTGGTGAGACGCTAGTGGATGGGGTCTGACCATACCTTCATGGGTAGGCTCTGGGTCAGGTGTAAGTGAGATGTCATCCAGCTCTCGCAGGCAGAGCCATTCTCCATCCATAGACACTCGGAATTTGCAAAGGTAGATGGTCTCCATGGCAGCCTGTGTGATCTTGTCAGTGGTGGGGGTTGGCATGTCGGTCGGAGGCGTCAGAGCAGACATGATGACTCAGCTGGGACCACAACACACACACACACAAACACACACACACACACACCCCCAACAAAAATAAATAAAACCTCCTCAACAAAAATCCCAAATCCAAAGCTCTGTAACAAAGCTCTCAGGAAAAGGGGTAGAGGAGGTTAAAAAAAAATACACAAGGAAAAATACCTTATGATTTAAGAACCAACTGTTCAAGATAAACAATTCTATACTATCTTTTCTCATAGACAGTTCCTACCACATAGCAAAGTAAGATGATGCTTGTCTTCTTCCAGCTTCTCTCCTTTTATCTTCCCTTCCCTACCCCCTTCTTTTTCAGCTGAGCCAGAGGCTTGAAATCCTGCACAGCCGATTCCACCTTAGCTGGCTTTAAAAAACTGGCCTCTGTATGAGTAAGTGAAAAATCCTCCTTCTTTGTGCAGAAAAAGAAATACAAAAGCAAAAAAATCCCAAACCAAAATAACAAAAAATAAGCCAATATTTTCTATTTAGCTTAAAAAATCCTGAATCGCAGAAATCACTTGCAGGATCTGCTCAGAGGAGCCGGGATGCTGAGTTCTAATAGGATTGGTTGTGCGCAGTAAGCAGGGTGTTGACCAAAATGGCTGACTAATGAACTGAACTGAAAATTCAAGCTCATGTGACCAGCTGCTCTGAACGGAGGGCGAGCAATTCCCAGGATGCTTTATAGATGCTGCTGATGCAGGGAGAGCAATTAGGCTGCTTGCTCTCATCCTGTACAACCCACTTCCAGACTGTGCTAGTCAAACTGTGATCAGACATAACACAATGCACATATCCTCATCAATTCCCCTCACTGTGGGATAAAAGGGCTAGATAAGTGGAGGACAATTCATACTGGGTAATACTCCATAGCAAAGATGGTAAAAGAGGCAGTTAGACTGATTTAACAAGCACATAATTCACCTCTTTTATCGTCATATACTTAGCTATTAAAAGTCTTTACTCTGCTAAAGATGGTGTTTTAGGGAAAAAAACTAAAGCAGATTTTCAATTTAAATACCATACTCTAAGCATTTATAATTTCCTTTTCCAAAGTACAGAGACCTAACTTTTTAGACTGGACAGAAATGTAAAAAATAACAAGAAAACTTGAAGTTAAAAAAGCAAAATCCTTCCTGATGAATGGCAATCCCCCTCTCCTTTTGATGTTGCTGTATTTACTAAGTTTCTACATTAGATTAGTTCCTAATAAGAGCACAGAACTATGTCATATCTTAAAAAGTCTCCCATCCTGGAACATCCTAAGGGCACGTTATATTCTCTTAAACCAGTCAACCAGCTTACCCACCCACCCACACAGCTGTATTATCCAGTGAGGCCTTTATGCCTTGGTAGCAAAAAGTTAGGTACTTGCTTTTTAAGATACATAAATAATAGAAGATAAGGGATGATAAAGGTTTTCTCTGAAAATGTTTTGGGCGATTGAAAACAAGTTGTTTCTTTCTTTCTTTCTTTTTTCTTCTTCTTAAGGGTCCAGTTTTGAGGAGGAACATACAATTTCAGAAAACATGTCCCAAGGTGATTTAATCTGTTCTAGGATGTCTTATCAGAGGGATACCTGAAAACTGAAATAAAACATTTCTCCTGGAGTATCATTAAAATTCCATAACTGCTTCCATTCTAATTTGAGATTGAGCTCAAAGAAAACAATGCTAAGAACCAGATCCTGTAGGCAAATAGGCATTTTCATGCTGTTAGAGAAGGCAAACTGGTATAACGTAAGAATGCGTATATGTATATGGTGTTCATAATTAGGAATAAAATCAGCAAATTACTAAAGAAAACAAAATATTCCAGGTAGGGTCATTCATTTCTATGTAAATCTCTTCCAGTGTTATTCTACATCTGGACCCAGGGCTATTCACACTCACTTATTCACTCACTTGTTCATTCATCATTCACTGAGAGTACGCCGTGTGCCAGGCGCTGGCATGCAGCAATTGGACAAGATCACTTTTTTAAGGAAGCAGAGTTTACATATCCAAATACTGAATATAAGCCTTCATTTAACACAATCACATTTAATTACAATTCAATTCCCTTCTAGCCAGACGTATTTCCATCATATACATTAAAGTTTAAAGGAGGATAGTTTATAGTTTCACTTTAAGCCATGCAATACTTTAAAACATAGTTAAGCAGTCATCAAAACCTTTAAATTAAACATACACTAAATAGTCCCTGGAACCACAACACCAAACATCCTTGGCTATCTGTGCATATGACATCAAGACTGCAGATCACTGATACAATCTTAACATACAGAATAGAGAATACAAATTAATCTGTGCGCTCTGGAATTGCCCGTGTCCACCATATTCGAATTTAGTCTGTCACAAACCATGACGAACTATCTCCCCACCAAGAAAACAATAAGCATTTACTTAATCCTGAACAGGAGATCTGGACTGATTACAACATGGCAGCACAAGAACATCTAGGTTAATAAGCAGAGGAACTTGGTTAACATTCCTTCCAAAGGTCCTTCTCTCCAGGTAGAGGACACAGGCAGGGAAGCCCAAAGCAATTAGAATGTTTGCCAAGGAGAGAAAAACCTGCCTGCACTGGGAAACCTCGAGTTTCCCATACCTACCAGTCTGAGGAGGTGTTAGCAGTCATTTCAGAAAGAAGAGCTGTGGGTGGGCAGGAAAACCTGTACTTCTACTTATCTAGGTTATGCCTGTTTACAGGTAAACACCCTTGAGTGTTAAACACTAACAATTACTCACTGTTCACAGGCAATGAATTTATTATGAAAACACTATCTTTAGAGGACTAATAAAAATAATTTTAAGTATTACTTAGTACTGTTTTTACATTTGGGTCTTTACTAAGTAAACATATTAGCTTAGAATATAAAGGTAATATTAAGTCATCAGTAAGACACACAAACCTTGACCTTTTTTTTCATAATCTTGTTTTTTCTCATAAACATACTAGTTTTAAGCTGTACTGAACTATTTTCTCATTTGATTCCACTTGTGAATAACAGCATATGCTTGTAAAATCATTCTGAGGAGGGCTGGGGTACAGTCTGTGGCTCTAAAGCAGAATTAACGAGCCTATGTGAGATTCAAATCCAAGATGATGATGTGAATACTCCTATCTTCTAGCTGCTTACACAGCCCAAATTTTCTGCATTATGATTGATTCAAAGCAAATAAGATACACATTTCAAAGTTAGCAGTTACATTTCTTTAAAGTGTATTTACTCAGCTACTATTTTAAGACAAAGACTGGGTTGTTACACCCAATGTCCCTGTTACACATGTGGAAAAATTATTACTACTTAAGGTAGCTACCATTTATTGAACTTCTATTTTCTGTTAGGTACTTTATAAATACCATATCAAATCATCACAGGAATCCTGCAAAGTAGGTACTGATACTCCCTCTTCATATACAAGGAAACCAAAGCTGAGCCATGTAACTGGCCCAAGATCTCACAGTTAGCAAGCGGCAGATCTGGGATCCCCAGCTGCTTCTGTCTAGAATGCCCCAAAGTCCATGGTTTCTTCTACACTTTGCAACTTCAGCACTCCATTCCAAGGATTAAATTTTACTCAGGGAAAATTAAAAACAAAACCAAAGCAAAACCAAAGCAAGATCCTCATGAAATTTCCTAAACATGAATTTGAACAAAGATTTGAAGAGAAAATTTTTAGCAGCTTTCACACTTTACACCTTAATGTTCCACAAACCATATATTCCACTTAGCCACCCTTAGACACTTAGTTCAGGTTTTTTAATCGGACATTTTCTGAGAACCTGAGAACCCAGCATGGATCTCTCCTACTTGTGCTGGCAGAGGGTGAACCAAATTCTTCCTGAACACCGTGAAGGACAATGTCACTTGCTTGCTGAACCACCACTGTGAGGACAGAGCTGAAAAACCATCCTACCAAGTTCCCTGCACATTTCCTGACTCAGGTGAACATATTAAGAACACCTGATACATTCAGAAGTGTGAAAAGATAAATGAAGGGATGGAGCGATTTTCTAAAATGACTCATTGTAGAACTTCTTTAAATTGCAAACTTCAATGTATAATTTTAATTGTTAAAAAAAACACCTCAATATCCATGAAACTATTGTCAACTGGAGAATGAGCTAACAACCTACATTTATATGCTCCTTCTTTCTTCTGATTTCCTGCCTCCCCTTTTGAGGCAATCACTTTTGAATTTTGTGTAAATCATTGTTTTTAAAATATTATTATACATATATAATGCCTATACAATATATATTAACTTCAGGTTTTTTTAACTTTACAATAAGGCTTCCATAACCTTCTAAGCCATTCACCCAACAATGCATTTTCTAAGATTCATCCACATTGTATTGTGTAGCCGTAGTTTATCCTTTGGGCTGCTAGTATTATAAGTATTATATTACATTTTATGTATAAGCAATTTTCCAAGCCATTTTCATGCTGGTAGGCATTTGGTTTACTTCTAATTTTTCAATTTTAAATGATGCTTTTTAGAAACAGATTTCTGGCAGGTATGCCAATTCTTCAACAGGTTTGAAGGTAACAGGCCATTTCACTTATTTCTTTTATAGTTAGCTAACTCCTCCTATTAATTACCTAGTTCCTATTCTGCACACAATAGTGCTTCCTACAATCTGTCAACTTGTGCAACTGAATCAGTTTGTAAAGCTCACAAGTTCTGTTTCCCAAGGCTTCCTGGGTCATGATTCTACAATTTAAGAAGAAATATCTCACCCCCTCCTCCACCCCTGGCTCATCTCACTAGTTACTTTTAGCACAAAAGGGTTTCCTTGATGAATTATCATCATGATGACATTTGGGAAAGCCCAGATGTTTCTGCTAAATTCTAAGATTATTCAATTGAATGGTCATGACTGTCACATGCCTCAGTCCTCCCTCCCACTTCCCTCCCTCCCACTTCCTTCCCTCTTGCATACAAAGATTTATTATGTCTAACTCTAATGTTGAGATTTCTACAAGTTTAGGTTTATACACTTGGCAGACTCAGTACTAGTCTGTAGATATTAACCAAGGATGATAATAAGTACTATAAAATGAGTGTACCTGAGAAGCTGAGTTGGTTTTTTGTCAGAAACAAACACCAGCAGGACTATTACAATGCATAATCTTTTTACTTGTTAAAATTAACCAGCCTAAGACTGGAAATAACGTCTACCTTAATAACTAAAATGGATTTAATGGCTAGGTGGCAGCAAGCAGCGATTTACAGATGAAAGCTACCAACTACTTAGTGGATGATCTTGGGAGATTCATCCTCTTGTCTCAGGATACTCAGTTATAAATGAAACTAAATAACTAGCTTCACAAAGATCACAGGTGCCAGGAGAAGAACTTTTGCCTGCTTTGCACACCATTACACACCTGCTTATAACAGTACCTACCAAATACCAGACTTTCAACGGATACTTGTTGGCATACAGATGTAACTCTAAAGCACTCTGTATTTTTGCAGTGGTATATTTCCACCCTCCTGTTTCACTTCAACCATGAAAACCCCCAAGTTCTAGAAACCAAGTTATGCCCTAACAAGCATGTCATTCTAACACAAGCTTTATTCATTTGTACGTAACAGATTCAATCATTCAACATGTACAAGGCATCTACTATATGGTAGCCACTATGCACAGATATGAAGAGAGAACAA